AAATGATTTGTAAATCATCACTTCTGGATCCTGTTATCACTTTCTCCAGCCAGCATAGATGGGACAGAAACAAATGAGGTGTGTTCTGAACTGCAATAGTTTGATTAAAAGGACACGTGAGACATCAAGGGTCTTTTAAAGACCCAATGTCTTAGTTAAGAAAAAAAAAAAAAAAAAGTGTATACAATTAAAGTTACACCTAAGAACTTAAAATCCCAGGCAAAATGTTTGAACCAGATTTACCCACACTACGAACAGCCGCAGCCTCCATGAATGTGTGTAAAACACCGTCACCACCAATGTACTACATACTTTGGCAATAAAAGGGTTAAAGGCTAATGCCAGCATTTGCAACATCTCACATGTTACATCTGTATTTAGGGTATTACATGTTGCTAAGCAACCTGCCCCTCATTCCCCCACCCCAGCATACACATATGTACAAAACAAACATCTGCGTCGGGGACACCTACATGTGAAAACTTTGATTGGCACACTCAGGAGCGAGAGCAACAATTCTAGGTCCATTATTCACAGTTAACACTAAAACGGATTCAAACATCGCCTACTGAAAATACAGTGTCTTGAAAAAGTATTTTCATACCACTTGAAATTTTCCACATTTTGTCATGTCAGATATTTATTTGTAAAAAAAAATTTGAAAACCATTTATCAGGGGTATACATACTTTTTCAAGGCACTGTATATTTTACCAAAAGACTGATAATATATTGCATTTTTGTGCCCTAAAATTAACTTTAGTGTATTTTTTTTTCTGAAAATTGGCATTTCAAAAACTGTTGCACCAATTTCATGTGCCATAAAAAATTGGAACTACCATTAATTTTATTCTCCAGGATGTCAGCTTTCAATAAATATATAATGCTTGGGGGTTTTATGTAATAATCAAGCCTAAAATTATTATTTTAACCTTGTGTGAAAAAAGAAAAAAAAAAAAAAAAAGAAGGGACTTCAAACAGTGAAAGGGTTGACACTGGGACATTTATAAATGTACCTTGGTAGATGAGAGATTAAAGTGGAACTTTAGCTAATAATAAATAAAAATTGACAGACAGGCAGGATTTTTATTGCAGAAAAGCTATACTTTATCTCTTCTGCATTAAAGCCAAAGCTGACTGAACTCCTTCACATGTTCGGGAGTGATGTCATCCCTGCCATGCCAATGAGAGCAACTGGTGATGGAAGCCCGCCACCCAAAAATGTCAGCAACCAGTAAGGAGCTCCTGGACATTGCATTGCTAGATTTGCAATATAAAAAAAAAAATATATATATAATATTTTTTTCCTACTTTTTGCTATAAAACATATCCAAAAAGAAAAATTCTTCAGAAATTTAAGCCAAAATGTATTCTGCTACATGTCTTTGATACAAAAAAAAAAAAAAAATCCAAATAAGTGTAGTTTGATTGAATTGTATGAAAGTTATAGCATCTACAAACTATGGTATATATTACGCTGGAATTTTTTTTTTTTACTTTTTATAATATTAATGGTGGTGATCAGAGACTTATAGTCAGACTGTGGTAGTGCAGCAGGCAATCTGATACTAACTGACGCTGGAAGTGACACTAATACAGTTATCAGTGCTAATGCTATACACTGTCACTGTACTGACACTGGTTGGAAAAGAGTTAACATCTAGGGGCGATCCAAGGGTTAACTGTGTGCCTAACAAGTTTAATGTGGTCTGCTTTTTATTAGATATCTGTTTGGTCTTTGTCCCAGCTGTACAGAGGCCTGTGTTGTTTGTCAACACAGGGATCTGGGCTGTGATTAGACAGTTAATCAACAGGTCTCAGCTATGAATAATTTGCTGAAACCTACCGCTGTGTCCAATCTCAGTGGGAATTGGCAGGGGGGGGGGGGGAGGGCAGCAAGCACCCTGAACCCAGAAACATGTCTAAACAGAGGATCAAACATTTAACCACCTCCCCTCCCGATGCACATCATATGACGTCTCGGGGTTTAAGTGGAGATATTGGAATGATACCTGCAGCTACAGGCATCATCCAGATATCTTTGATTTCAGCCACCCCCGCCAACCAGCACCCTCTCCGTATTCTCCCGTGCTATTGTGAACCTGGAGATCCGGTTCTTGGCCACCGTCGGTTCACCATAGAGCTGGCCATGGACCAGATGGTCCACGGCCATCTCTATGAACCTGGGAAGCTGGAAGCGACGTCATGAAAAAGGGAAAAAAGTTAAAGGCGATGTCATGTTAAAGGGAAAGTGTAAAAATATAACAAATACACGGCTGTATATGTAAACTGCGTTCGAACCACAGGTGAGGTATTGCAGCAATTGTTATAGCGAGAGCAATCTAAACTGGTAGCATCTGCAAATTTTTAAAGTTGCCTATGGCAACTTTAAGTACCTGTAAGTACTTTAAGTACCTGTAGTTTGGCACTTCCACGAGTGTGCACAATTTTAAAGCGTGACATGTTTGGTATCTACTTACTCGGCATAACATCACGTTTTATCTTTTACCAAAAACATTGGGTTATATATCTTCCTGATCAGGCCATTTTTTTGTTACGTTACGGCGCTGCGTTACTTTAACTGACAATTGTACGGTCATGCACTGCTGCACCCAAATTCAATTTATGTCCTTTTTTTCTCCCCACGAATTGAGCTTTCTTTTGGTGGTACTTGATTGCCTGTGCGGTTTTTATTATTTGTGCTAAAAAAAAAAAAAAAAAAAAAAAAAAAAAAAAAAAAAAGACCAACAATTTTGAGGGAAAAAAAAAAAAAAACTATATATTTGACTTTCTGCTATTAACCACTTGCCTACTGGGCACTTAAACCCCCTTCCTGCCCAGGCTAGTTTTCAGCTTTCAGTGCTGTCGCACTTTGAATGACAATTGCACGATCATGCAACACTGTACCCATATGAAATTTTTTTTTTTTTTTTTTTTTTTTTTTTTTTAAAAAAGACAGACAGAGCTTAATTTTGGTGGCATTTAATCACCTCTGGGTTTTTTTATTTTTTGCTAAACAAACCAAAAACAACTGAAAATTTTGAAAAAAAAAACCAAACTTTTTTCTTAGTTTTTGTTATAACATTTTGTAAATAAGTGATTTTTCTCCTTCACCGATATGCACTAACGAGGCTGCAGTTATGGACACCGATAGGTGGCACTGATGAGTAGGCACTAGTAGGTGGCACTGATGGGCATTGACAGGTATCACTCATATATGGCACTGACTGGCACTGTTAGGCGGCACTGACGAGCACTGGCAGGTGGCATTAATGGGCACTGACAGGTGGCACTGCTGGGGCTACACTGATCATCAGGGCACACTGATGATCAGTGTACATGTCCTCTCTGTGGAATGCCGATTACCAGCTCTCCTCACCTCTCGAGCTGTCAGCGTGACAGCTCGTGAGGAGAGAAATGCCGGTAACGGGTATTTCCCTATTTACATGTGGTCAGCTGTGATTGGACACAGCTGATCACATGACTGAGCGGACATCTTTAGCTCTGTTGATCGGTGATCCTCTGTGTCCAAGGGACACAGCGCACCACCGATCGCCGCGCTGCGCGCTCCCGGAGCTGTGCACGCACGGTTAGAGTGGGAGGACGTCATATGACGTCCTCCCAGAACGAGAGAACCGCCTTGCGTCCGTCATTACCTTATATGGCGGGCGGGAAGCGGTTAAACATGTCCAGTAAAGAAATGTTAAAAATCAAATTTCGTCATACATTTAGGCCAAAATGTATTCTGCTTTCCTATAAAAAAAATCCCAATACATGTAAATTAAATAGTTTACGTGAAAGTATTAAGTTTATTTATTTATTTTGGATAGTAATGGCAGCGATCAGTGACTTATAGCGGGACATTATGACACTGGGGGGAACTGACTTGGTGTCACTGACATCCTCAGTGACACCAATACAGTGATTAAAAAAAAAAAAAAAAAAAAAAAAAAAAAGCACTGACACTGTACTAATGGCACTGGGCAGGAAGGGGTTAACATGAGCAGCGATCAATGGGTTAACTGTGTTCAGGGAGTGTATTACTATGGGGCGGTGTCTGTGTGCTTCACTGTAACCGCACTGCTGTGGATGGCTGTGCACAGCACAGCCATCCATCCATCCAGAGCAGTGTGCCCGAGCTGACAGGGAGGAGGACTGTTAATAAACAAAACAGTTCTCTTTCCCGTCAGAGATCTTCAGAAATCGCCAGGCGCCAGCTATTGACAGCCATGCCCGCAAAATCACATATATACGTGATTTTGCACACCCATGCCGCCCTGTAGCAGTATTTACAGGGTGGTCAGGAAGCAGTTAGTTTATTTTTTTCAATTGCATTTGAAAAATTGCTGCGCAAATCCCATGTGACACAGATGGCAACAGCAGCCATTTTGTTCTCTAGGGTCTCTAAAAAAAAAATATATATATATATATATATATTTATTATGTTTGATGTTCTGAGTAATTTTATAGAAAAAAAAAAAATACATTTCCATGTAGAAGAGAAATGCCAGAATTGGCCTGGACTAAAAGTGATTAAAATATTGCAGCATTTAAGCACATTTTCTACAAGTAAAGAAAATGACCGGACAATCTTATCAGAAACCTTATGACTGGTTATCAGCTTTCCCTGGTAACTTCTGTGAACTACAGAACACCTCCATCTATGTAATGAAGAGGGGGAGGTGTCTGTAGTCCAAATCAAGAGAAGGAAACTAAGTCTGAGAAAAGAGAACAAGTGTAACCAGCACATCGAATGCCAGCTCAGCTGTACTAGGGAAGTTGTGTTTCTGTCCTCAGCTACACTGTATGTCAATCTCTATTCCATTACTTCTCTGCACCTTCCTGCTACTGCACCAGGAGAGTCCCCATAATGAGAGTAGAAATGCCACCAGACCACCCCGGAAGAGGTCATATTCCATTGTGTGTCAGGCTCCAATAGTACACAGAGGGCAGCATGGCGTCACTCAGCAGGCAGGCACCCGCCCGCACCTTACACTGTACCTGTCCTGTCGCTCGTATCCGGGCCCGACACCGACTATTAGCCTGTGTCCGGAGTCGCTGTACTGCCTCCTCACTGGGGAAGGTCCAGTGCTTCTTCTGGGTGCTGTTGTGGTACATATTCCTCTCTCACACACAGCGCTGCCGGCGCGGCCAATATACGTCACCGTGATGTCAGAGGGTGCCCAGCACAACCACGTGGTGTCCTTCCGCCCATACTGGGTGTAGGGAAGAGGAGAGAGCCAATAGGATTGTGCTGGGGATTGGCGCTGGTGCGAGAGGAGAGGGAAATGCCTTCTCCATCCCTTCATAATGGATGGATGGACGGGGGGGGGGGGCGCAGGCTGTATGTGACAGAAGAGAGGAATAGGATACACCTGGAGGACATGCCTTCTCCATCCCTTCATAATGGTTGTAGGGAAGAAGGGGGGGGGGGAAGCAGGCTGTATGTGGCAGAAGAGAGAGGAGTAGGAGGAGCATGTCTTCTCCAATAGGATACACCAGGAGGATACACATGCCTCTTCTCCATCCCTTCATAATGGTTGTAGGGAAGGGGGGGGAAGCTGTGGGGGGGTGCAGGCTGTATGTGGCGGGGGGGGAGAGGAATAGGATATACCAGGAGGTCATGCCTTCTCCATCCCTTCATGATGGTTGTAGGGGGAAGGGGGGGCAGGCTGTATGTGGCAGAGGAGAGGAATAGGATACACCAGAAGGACATGCCTTCTCAATCCCTTCATAATGGTTGTGGGGAGGGGGGGGCGCAGGCTGTATGTGGCAGAGGCGAGGAATAGGATACACCAGGAGGACATGCCTTCTCCATCCCTTCATAATGGTTGTAGGGAGGAGGGGGGCACAAGCTATATATGTGGCAGAAGGGAAGAAGGGGGGGTGCAGGCTGTATGGCGGAGGAGAGGAATAGGATATACCTATTCTCCATCCCTTCATAATGGTTGTAGGGAGGAGGGGGCGCACCAGGCTATATGTGGCAGAGAGGAATAGGATACATCTACTGGATATAGGGAAGAAGAGACATGGTATCTGCTTAGGCTGTATGTGGCATAGAAGGGGAGAGCAGTGCTCCACCAGGACATGTCTTCTCTATCCTTTCATACTGATACAAAAGACATCATATCTGAGGCAGTGTGTGGCAGAGGAGAGGGTTAAGCTACACCAAGAGGACATGTCTGCTTCATGCTATGTGAAGTGTATGGCTTAGGGGACATCACATCTCAGGGTGTGTGTGGCAGAAGACAGGGCTAGGCTCCACAAGGAGGACGTCTTCTCCATCCCTTCATCCTGAACATCATATCTCAAACTCTGTGTGGCAGAGGAGACGGATAGACTCCACCAGAAGCACGTGTATTTTCCAACCCTTCATTCTGGGTGTACAGTGCCTTGAAAAAGTATTCATACCCCTTGAAATTTTCCACATTTCGTCATGTTACGACCAAAAACAGAAATTTATTTTATTGGGGGATTTTATGTGATAGACCAATACAAAGTGGCAAATAATTGTGAAAAGGAAGGAAAATGATAAATGGTTTTCAAATTTTTTTACAAATATCTGAAAAGTGTGGCATGCATTTGTATTCAGCCCCTTTTACTCTGATACCCCTAACTAAAATCTAGTGGAACCATTTGCCTTCAGAACTAATTAGTAAATAGAGTCCACCTGTGTGTAATTTAACCTCAGTATATAATACAGCTGCTCTGTGAAGCCCTCAGAGGTGTGTTAAAGAACATTAGTGAACAAACAGCATCATGAAGGCCAAGGAACACACCAGACATTTCAGGGATAAAGTTGTGGATATGTATGAAGCAGGGTTAGTTTATAAAAAAATTATCCCAAGCTTTGAACATCTCATGGAGCACCGTTCAATCCATCATCCGAAAATGGAAAGAGTATGGCAAATCTACCAAGACATGGCCTGGCACGAAGAGCATTAATCAGAGAAGCAGCCAAGAGGCCCATGGCAACTCTGGAGGGGCTGCAGAGATCCACAGTTCAGGTGGGAGAATCTGTCCACAGGACAACTATTAGTTGTGCACTCCACATATTTGGCCCTTATGGAAGAGTGGAAAGAAGAAAGCCATTGTTGAAAGAAAGCCATAAGAAGTCCTGTTTGTAGTTTGAGAGAAGCCATGTGGGGGACACAGCAAACGTGGAAGAAGGTGCTCTGGTTAGATAAGACCAAAATATTACTTTTTGGCCTAAAAGCAAAACACTATGTGTGACAGAAAATTAACATTGCACATCACCCTGAACACACCATCCCCACCGTGAAACGTGGTGGCAGCATCATATGGGGATGCTTTTCTCAAGCAGGGACAGGGAAGCTGGTCAGAGTGTACCCAACACTGGTGGAGTGGAGGAGGAGAGTGAATTGGGAATCCAGAATATACATGGAGGAGAGAACATGATCTATCCGAGGAATGCAGTGGACATAGTATGCAGCCCGCCTGTGTAAGGGGGTCCTGGAGCTCTGCGGAGTGTGGACCTAATGGGGAGAGCATGTTTGTTGCACCAGGAATCAACACTATCTACATAGGAAAAATATCACTTTTAACACGGACTACACAAGCACTTTTTAAGAGCACTGCAGTTTATGTAATATTTGCACAATAGAAAATTTGTGATCCAAACAACTCCAGACCTTTTACTTGCTTAATTGATGAAGAAATAACGAAGGAGTAGCCCACACCTGGCTATGAAACACCTTTTGATTCAACTGTCCAATTACTTTAGGTCCCTTGAAAAAGGGGGGATGGCTCTTAAGAGCTGTAATTCCTAAACCCTTGTTCGAATTTGGATGTACATACCCTCAAATTAAACCTGAGAGTGCACTTTCAGCCCATATCCATTATATAACTATAGCTTGAATATGTTTTGGTAAATAACAGTATGTATATATATATATATATATATATATATACACATATATATACAGTGGGGATCGAAAGTTTTGGCACCCCAGCTAAAAATTTGTATTAATGTGCATAAAGAAGCCAAGGAAAGATGGAAAAATCTCCAAAAGGCATCAAATTACAGATTAGACATTCTTATAATATGTCAACAAAAGTTAGATTTTATTTCCATCATTTACACTTTCAAAATAACAGAAAACAAAAAAAATGGTGTCTGCAAAAGTTTGGGCACCCTGCAGAATTTATAGCATGCACTGCCCCTTTTGCAAAGCTGAGACCTGCCAGTGTCATGGATTGTTCTCAATCATCGTCTGGGAAGACCAGGTGATGTCAATCTCAAAGGTTTTAAATGCCCAGACTCATCTGACCTTGCCCCAACAATCAGTACCATAGGTTCTTCTAAGCAGTTGTCTAGAAAACTGAAACCGAAAATATTTGACGCTCACAAAGCTGGAGAAGGCTATAAGAAGATAGCAAAGCGTTTTCAGATGTCAATATCCTCTATTCGGAATGTAATTAAGAAATGGCAGTCATCAGGAACCGTGGAAGTTTAAGCAAGATCTGGAAGACCAAGAAAAATATCAGACAGAACAGCTCGCAGGATTGTGAGAAAAACAATTCAAAACCCACGTTTGACTGCACGATCCCTCCAGAAAGATCTGGCAGACACTGGAGTTGTGGTACACTATTCCACTATAAAGAGATACTTGTAAAAATATGGTCTTCATGGAAGAGTCATCAGAAGAAAACCTCTTCTACGTCCTCACCACAAAAATCATCGTTTGAACTTTGCAAATGAACATATAGACAAGCCTGATGCATTTTGGAAACAAGTTCTGTGGACCGATGAGGTTAAAATTGAACTTTTTGGCTGGAATGAGCAAAGGTACGTTTGGAGAAGAAGGGGCACAGAATTTAATGAAAAGAACCTCTGTCCAACTGGTAAGCATGGGGTTGGATCAATCATGCTTTGGGGTTGTGTTTCAGCCAGTGGCACAGGGAACATCTCACAAGTAGAAGGAAAAATGGATTCAATAAAATTTCAGCAAATTTTGAATGGTAACTTGATGCCATCTGTGAAAAAGCTGAAGTTAAAGAGAGGATGGCTTCTACAAATGGATAATGATCCTAAACACACCTCAAAATCCACGGGGGATTACATCAAGAGGCATAAACTGAAGGTTTATGCCATGGCCTTCACAATCTCCTGACCTCAACATAATTGAAAATCTATGGATAGACCTTAAAAGAGCAGTGCGTGACAGACAGCCCAGAAATCTCAAAGAACTGGAAGACTTTTGTAAGGAAGAATGGGCAAAGATACCTCAAACAAGAATTGAAAGACTCTTGGCTGGCTACAAAAAGCGTTTACAAGCTGTGATACTTGCCAAAGGGGGCAGTACAAGATATTAACTCTGCAGGGTGCCCAAACTTTTGCAGACACCATTTTTTGTTTTCTGTTATTTTGAAAGTGTAAATGATGGAAATAAAATCTAACTTTTGTTGACATATTATAAGAATGTCTAATCTGTAATTTGATGCCTTTTGGAGATTTTTCCATCTTTCCTTGGCTTCTTTATGCACATTAATACAAATTTTTAGCTGGGGTGCCCAAACTTTTGATCCCCACTGTATATATATATATATATATATATATATATATAGTATATTATGTAGTAATGGTATGTATACATTATATTCAGATATTTTATTGATTTAGGAGACACCTCCCATGGGGAAGGAGGTGTATTATAGTTTGGATTTTGTCACTGTGCACTTTGTCACTTTATTATAAGTAAGCACTTGTAGGTATACACAGTTTTGAGGGGAGGTGTTTACAACCCCACACCATTTATTTGAAATTTGCATGTTTATATCCTTGGGGATATTAAAGGGGTGTTAGGCTTATGTTCAATTGATAGCCCCTGCGTGGGCATGTTTTGTTGCTCCTGTCTTAAACTGTTTATAAATTAATAAAACCATTGAAATACAAGGGGGTGTCAGGCAGCCGCATATGTATACAGTAGTTTTGATAGGGTATTGTTCCATTAGTGCAGATATTGATATATATTATATATATATATATATATATATATATACAGCTGCATTCAAAATAATAGCAGTATGTTGAAAAAAGTGAATAAAGCTCAAAATCCTTCTAATAGCTTTTATTTCCATACACACAAATGCATTGG